CCAACCCAGAGCAGGGAAAGAAAGGTGGGAGAGGTGTCAAACTTGAGATTGTAATTGAGATTGTAGATTAACCCCTACTTCACGAATTTTCACTTATTGTTGGTGGTCCTGGAATGTAACACCAGCGATAAGTGAGGAATACTGTACTCAAAGTTTTCCCTAACATGTATCAATTGAGTTTGCTGACTATTGCAGCCTGGATCTCTACTACTTTGGTTACTCTCTCTACTATTCACAGGCGCTTCTGCTGATGTCAGAAAGGGGCACCTGTCCAACCAGCAAGGATGATAATCTTGTAATATTGACTGACATGATAGTTTGTCCATCTTCTTAAACAAATGAAGCCATTGTAAAAAAAAAAAACCCCCAAAAAACCTAACATGGATAGAAAAGACTTTCTTGCCAAGGTTAATCATAAAGTAATGATTTAACAGATTGCTAACCCAACATTAAGGCTGCCATGTTCTATACACTTACTTGGAAGTAAGCCAAAGTTAATGGAATCTGTAAGCAGACATGCCTATTGACTATACAGTGTTCCCTCGCTACTTCACGGTTCGCTTTTTTTAGACTCGCTGTTTTGCGGTTTTTCAAGAAATACAGTAATGTATATATTTACACTGGAGCTGCACCTCTCTTTGCCAGGCGCATCGTGGGAAATGCCCACCTGGGAAGCCGCCCCCTGCAGGCACCCCACTCACCCAGCTCCTCCTCCTCGCCTGCTTCCTCCTCTTCCTCACTCTCCCTGGCAGATGGGAGCCCTTCCGGGTTGAAAGCAGCAAGGAAGGGAAGAAGGGAAAGATGATGGACAGGTCTAGAGGGGTGTATGGCAGGTGGGTCGGGAGGACCCACGTGACGTCACAAGACCAACCCAGAGCAGGAAAGAAAGTTGGGAGAGGTTTCAAACTTGAGATTGTAATTGAGATTGTAGATTGTATACATACACACACACACACATACACACACACACATATATATATAGAACCCCTACTTCACGAATTTTCACTTATCGTTGGTGGTCCTGGAATGTAATACCAGCGATAAGTGAGGAATACTGTACTCAAAGTTTTCCCTAACATGTATCAATTGAGTTTGTTGACTATTGCAGATCTCTACTATTTTGGTTACTCTCTCTACTATTCACAGGTGCCTCTGCTGATGTCAAAAAGGGGCACCTGTCCAACCAGAGAGGATGAGGTGAGGTAATCCCTTTCTTCTTGCTGGTGGTATGAGTGCCCCATTCAACCATGAGCAGTGGCACCCATAACAGCCAGGAGCTTCAAAGGAGCTTTCTGAACATAGAGCAGGTGACTACCCAGTGGGGCAGATCCACTATTGGGCCAAATGGACAATCACTTCGTATTCAGCACGTAAGTGCTGAATCCGGGGCTGCTCCAAGGGTTAATTCACACTGGTCTAACCTGCCTAGTATAGACATGCCCATAGAGTGTCTTTTCATATGTGCGCTGTATGCTTAGAGACAATTCTGATACTCATTAAACTTTTGCTCGTTTTCTCTTATGCTTCATAAGTCATGCCCCACAAACTCCCCTGAACCAATTCAGATGTGATCACAAACCAATATTATCATTGTGAAAATGAGCGTGCTCAAGTTCTGAATGTGCACACAGACACAACTGTCTTCCTTATTTGAAAAAAAGAAGAAACTAAAAGTGTTCACTTTGATTCTGTAATTTAGGGAACTGTTACCAGTTCCAAGAGAACATAGTTTGTAACTTAGGATATAAAGCAGTCTTAGGTTATTGTTTACTAAATCCAAGCATAGTCAAAACAGAGGCAGCTTGGATCAGGATCAAACAGTAAATTTCTTTTTAACACAATGGCTCAAAAAGTAAGAGTAATGCCCATTTCCTGCTGTATCTCCCTGTGTGCTCTGGAGAGCTAGAAAACTCTCTGGAGTCAGCTTCAGGCATCATGGAGGTCTGCAGAGGGAATGGGAAGGGGAAACAATTCTGGATGTTTCACTAGTAAAACTTCAGAGTTAGTACTTTGTGAGAACCAACCATAGCTCCCTGGGTATATTTAGTTTACTTGAAATCAGGAACACTTGATGTTCTCATGAAGGAGAAGGAGGAGTGAAGATAAGGTGAGATATGCCCAAGAATCTGGCAGTTTCATTCTCGTAACAACAAGTGTTTTGCCCTTATATCTGAAGCCAACCTGTGTTTATTGCTGTGCTCCTCCTTCCATGGGCGGGCAACAGATGTGAATGTAAGCTGGGGGTGGTGGTGATTCATAAACGTATTGATCAAATTGTGCCTGATACATTAGTGACTACAAAGCCATAAGGACTACCATGGTTGCAGAGTGACTCCTGACTACCATTGCTCACAACAGAAAAATATTGCCACCATTGGGCTCTTCAGACAGTAGAGAAAGGGCTTACATATGTACTGATAAAAATACAGGGAATTCCTCTATTCAAGGAGGACTTTTGTGAGAATCCATAAAAAGATCTCATACAGAGCTGAAAGACAAATGGAAAAATCTATGGCTAGATGTGTGTGCAAAGATTAGTGTTAGCAGTTTGAGACTGCTCAATGTGGTATACACAATTCTTACGTTAATTGGGCTTGGTTGGGAATTGATCTGGAGGAGAGATGGGAAACAGAGAAGACCCATGACACGTTCTTTACTCACTGTGCTTCCACTAGGATTTTGAGCCTCAGCTGTAGAATAATATTAGATCCTGGTCCACCCCCATTAAAAAGCACCATAAGAACAGTGGATGAGAAAGGCAACCCAAAGGTGAATATGAATGAAAATAGTTTCTCATTCCAAATCAAAACCAATTTCAACATATTTTAGGGAGAGCAAGACAAAGGACTGACTTCATAGATGTCAATATACATTTCAATACTGTCTCCATCATTTAAACTACTAAGGCTGCAGCTCTATACACACTGCCCTGAAAATAATCCTCTTCAAACACAAGGGGGCTTATCTCTAAGCAACACATACTACTGCAGTATTCTGTATATCCTGAAAATATGAGTGACAGCCAAATCTTTATTTGGATATACTGAACAGCTCTAGCCAGCTGTTTCAGTTTCACACAAAAATTCAATCATAAAGTATGTTGCCTTAACAAACTTACTAGATATGCTAGTAAGTATCTGCTAACAATTCCAAAACAATCCCTCGGGGTGAGAAAAGCGGTATAGAAATACTGTAAATAAATAAATTATTGCATTCACCTGCTCAGTAATATGTATGGATTTGGGCTCTATCATGAGAAGTAGATTAAAGCCATTTGAAATTAGAGATAAAAACACATGACAGAAACACAGTGTGGTCTTTTATAAGTCTTTAAGGAATCTAATAATTCAGACACCAATAGACTAGCTAATTCATTGGCCCCTCCAGATATGATGAACTATAACATTCATCATGCCAACTGGCACATAATCCAACACTTTTAAAGCATATCAGGTTGTGGAAATGGGTCTTGACTGTATTTTGGGACAAAGAAGTCATGTAGCCATTTGTTCTTCTAAAACATAATAAAGTGCTTTACTATGCTAAGACCTCAAATAATTAGCTGAAATTACAACCTGTATCAATTAAATATACATTACTGTATTTAATTAAAATCAATTAAAACGAAGTAAATTTGAGCCTAATTTTTAAATATATTATGTTTGAGTTAGATGCACATCTAACTCAAAGCATTGAAAAGAAGCACCTGTTTGCTGGCAGAACCACCTTCTGCCAGTTTGATCTCACAGATCTGTTAACCCAGCAGTCTACTGACAGAACAGTTCTGCTGGCAAAAATATGATAACAGAAGATTGCCCTTCACTCACAAAAAAGAAGGAAGTTGAAGTGATGGAGAAGGCAGTTTTCGACAGAACCAAACTTTCTGAAGCCAAAGAATACAGTAACAATGCCAGCAAAAAAACTAGGTCAGAGCAAATATAGTCATAATATCCATCGATCCTAGGGTGAAAGAGGTTGAATTCAGCACAGCATTATTAGAGTTGGCCTTTGGCCATCTTGGATTAATTAGAATCACGTCCTTAAATCTTTGAAATTTGCATTTGATTGGGGATACTGTTTTGGCATATAAGCATTAGCTGTAGCAGGTATATGAAATGGCAGCAGCATGCTCTATAGAACTAGCAAGTATGTAGAATAATAGAATCATAGAATCAAAGAGTTGGAAGAGACCTCATGGGCCATCCAGTCCAACCCCCTGCCAAGAAGCAGGAATATTGCATTCAAATCACCCCTGACAGATGGCCATCCAGCCTCTATTTAAAAGCTTCTAAAGAAGGAGCCTCCACCACACTCCGGTTCAGTGAGTTCCAATGCTGAACGGCTCTCACAGTCAGGAAGTTCTTCCTCGTGTTCAGATGGAATCTCCTCTCTTGTAGTTTGAAGCCATTGTTCCGCGTCCTAGTCTCCAAGCTTGCTCCCTCCTCCCTGTGGCTTCCTCTCACATATTTATACATGGCTATCATATCTCCTCTCATCCTTCTCTTCTTCAGGCTAAACATGCCCAGCTCCTTAAGCCGCTCCTCATAGGGCTTGTTCTACAGACGCTTGATCATTTTATTTGCCCTCCTCTGGACACATTCCAGCTTGTCAATATCTCTCTTGAATTGTGGTGCCCAAAATTGGACACAATATTCCAGGTATGGTCTAATCAAAGCGGAATAGAGGGGTAGCATTACTTCCCTAGATCTAGACACTATGCTCCTACTGATGCAAGCTTTTTTTGCCGCCACATCACACTGTTGGCTCATGTTCAACTTGTTGTCCATGAGGACTCCAAGATCTTTCTCACATGTATAAGATCTGGTGTAAATATTTGCTTCAAGAAACACTGTGTTAGCACTAGTATACGCAACAAGGGACAAGTTTGTTGCTTAAGTCCTATAGCAGATCCACAACTTCTGGGTAGGAAGTGTTGTCTTCCCTAAAGTTAATAAAGCATTGTAAAAACAAATAAATGTTGGTTGTGGATGAACCCCTACCTTGCCCAATCCAGGAGTGTCCTTCACTTTGTTGACTGCTCTTAGCAAACATGGTGGGGCTGGTGGAGGAGAGGTCTGCAAGACAGTACTAAACTTTGTAGCAAAAAGATGGGATTCAGAAACAGAGGATGTAGAAGGCCTGTGCTTCTTCTTTTTAGATGTTAGGTTCAACTTCTGAGCAGCTCTGTAGAGGAAATAAAGGAAAATACCAAGTTCATCATTAGTTACATAAAGTAAGAAACATCTTATTAACAAGAGACATCAAGAAGGATCACCATCTTAAAAAAAGTGTCTTTTTAGTTTTACCCCTCTCATACCAGTTCTTTGGGAGGATATGCATTTAATCTAGGGACTGGTTAAACGGGATTAAAATTATATATAGCTTTTGTTTTTCCCTAAAGTTTGTCAGCTTAGTACACAGGCCCTGCTGTATCCCATTACCAAATTAATGAGCTGTACAAATGGCTATTTATGTTAGACAATTTAGTTTCACAAATGGACTTTTCAATTACAAAGAACTGTTTGTCATTCAAGTCTTTTGGTGCAGTTTTTCAATGTAAGCAGCCAATCATTATTATGTTAATGTTTATTATTAAATGCTCAAGTGAAATTAACAAACATATAAGGAGTGTAGCACTAACTATTTTCAACTTCTGACACCTCATAAAATGCAGCCTTTTTCCTGATATCCAGCCAACCAACTCTATGCTATTTGTAAAGCCGTTGGAGAATCATAGAAACTCAGAATTGGTTAAATAAACTGCACATTTATTTAAGTATTGAGAGCTACAGTGAAACATGTGTTTAATTTTAAAATTGATTTTTCTTTATTCAAATTTAGATTATTGTTGCAATCTAGCTTGCAAACTACTTCTCTTTTAACTTTTATTCACAGCATAAGGCATAATAGAGTTGCTTTAGTATGGAAAAAATATTGCCTCTTGCATACATTTTCCTTTTGAGTATATCATTCTAACTTTCACATCTTTAATTTATTTATTTATTTATTTATTTATTTATTGCTTTCTGTATTTGTATACCGCCTTTCTCAGCCAATTGGCAACAAATCAGTATACATAAAACATAATAGATAAAAAACATTAAACAGTATAAGAACATCACAAAAACAATAAAAGCAACATCATCAGTGTCTCATTATTCTCAAGCATTGTCCAATTCCATTGTCAGGTCATTCAATTTCCTATATTAGCTACTCTGTATTTGTAAACGCTTGCTCGAATAGCCAGGTTTTAACTTGCCTCCGAAACGTCTAGAAGGAGGGAGCAGATCTGATTTCCCTAGGGAGGGCATTCCATAGCCGAGGGGCCACCACTGAGAAGGCCCTGTCTCTCGTTCCCGCCAAACGTGCTTGTGACGAAGGCAGGACTGGGAGCAGGGCCTCTCCAATGATCTTAAAGTCCTCAGTGGTTTGTAAGGGGAGATACGTTCTGACAGGTAAGTTGGGCCAGAACCGTTTAGGGCTTTATAAGCCAAAGCCAGCACTTTTACAGTCCAGAAACAGTGAAGAAAGTATGTTGGTTCATAAAGACGGTAATCAACCCCAAGATAATACAATTATTAAGATCAAAGGGGAACACCCCCAAAGACACACACACACACAACACTAACAACTTTCTCATTTTCAAAAAAGTTGGAGTGGATGTAATCAAGGTGATGTGGAGAGAGAAACATAGGACCTTATCACATTATGTTACACAATCTATTTATAGCAGGCTGTATTGAGACAGGATGCATACTGTCTCCATCACATCCGATTATGACGATTCTTACAATTTGAAAATACTGCACTTTGATTCATCACACCATGAAAGGCTGGCCCCTCCCAATCTGTTCCAATGCCTCCCTATGTCACTTTATTATTAAGATTTCTAATATTGTGCAGTGGCATTGCCTAGAGATTTTGAACGACCTTTATCACGACAGAATACATACTAGTTTTCTGATCACATGTAAAAACAGTGCCTTAGCAATGTATAAAATTTTAGGAAATCAAAAAACATGATTAGAATCCCAGGTGCAATTACTCTGTTTCTGCAATGTTTTGCAAATGGATTCCAACAGATTATTGACAGAACGGAGCAAATATTATGTGATAGGAACCATTCGGAATCATGTTCAAAGAGTCTCAGAAATGAAGTATATCACAATGTGATGTGGTCTAAAGGTTTGATGCTACAAGAGACTAACTGGGCTAATTTCTTTGAGACAGATTTGATGTTGTATTGCAAATGCTATGTTCAACCACAATGTTTGGACTAAACATGGGCAGAGATTTAAGAATTAATTGGAGAAAGACATGTATTTCTATGAGAAAAGTAGTCCCATTTGTGAGCTTCAAAATTCCATGATTTCTTATTGTGCCAATAGCCAAGGAGGAGGAGAGTTCTAGAGAATGATTATTTTGTGGTCTTAGCAATAAAAGATACACGTAAATGCATTTGCAGCTCTGTATTAACTTGCTACTTTTTGGAAAAAATTCTTTCAGCACAATCTCAGAATCATGATGATATGTACAGAAGAACCCACTTACGAATCATTTGAATGGGGGAATGGACACAAAGCAACAATTGCTTTTAAAATGCCTTGGTGTGCACCTTGGTGCATTTACAGCAAATCTCAGTAAATACTCATGTCAGGGTGCTTTCCACATTTCTCCTTACAGCCTCCAAGATCTCTCTCTGCCACTGAAGCCTTTTCTGAGGACCAGTAACACACCTGCATGCTAAGAAAATAGTTCAGTCTCTCTACAGCGTTGAACATAAAAAGACTTTAACAGAATGGTAAACACAACATTAATTCTATAGCTTGATTTCAGCAGGAAAGCTGGAGTGGAAGTTATTTGAATCAGAGAAAGAAAGAGAAATGAGTACGCTTTAACCACAATCCCACTGTGTCTATATTCAGTACAGAGCAATTACACATTTCCAGTCCAATTTTATGTCAGAGATACACTGCCTTTAGATGACTGGAATTATGCATACGTCCTTATTGCCAGAAGGAGAATTCTGCTAGAAGAACTCTTTTTCTCTAGGTGAGCCCAAGGATCTGACAACAGTTATCTGCCGGTAAAAATTTATTTTCAGGTTAAGCTCTGCGAGCAAAAATAAAAAAAATAAAAAAGAGAATGGCAGGAAAGTTGCTAAATATTGCCAAAGCTCCTCATTCACAATATTCCTGGTTCTAGGTAGAAGGTACTTAGATTAGAAGCATAGGTTTTCAGAGAAAATAAAGAAATTACATCCAAAATTCATCATCAGTTAATGTCCAAAGACCCTAAGCTGAACTGAGTCACACACAAGCCAGGACCAAAACAGATATGAGAAATTGAAAAGCAAGTTCTTGGGAACAGAGCCAAGCTATATTCAATAAAATCCTACAAAGCCATTTGTAAGATCCAGGAAAGAAAAGCCAAAGATTAAGTCTTATAACAAACCAAGTCAGAGGAAATTGTCAAAAGCAGAAAAAAGCAAAGAAAAACAGGCAAGGTTGTGTTGTTTCAAACAAAACCTGGTAGTTCTTTTATCTCTCTGCTCATTTCCTAGCTGTAATGCAATTATCTCATCAGAGATTACTTGGATTAATCTTTTTCCATATGCAATCTTCACTATCAATGTTTGCTGCAGCCTAGTATTCCTTTTTAAGCAGAGCCATTCTGTCCTGTGTCTACAGCAACCAGTCCCGTAGCCAGGATTTCTTTTGGGGGGGGGGGTGAATTTTTTTCAGGGGGGTTTCGGGGGGGCTGAGTTTCGGGGGGGGGCTGAGTCTGAGTGAAAGAGGGTCTAGCCTAGCAAACCTTTTGTATCATTACCCCAATACCCCCATGCATATGGGATATATTGAGTATGGTGATCAGATCATGATATGAATAAACATAACAGTTTAAATAATGCACCAGTAAGGCCTTTTCGCGAACCCATGAGAATTTGGGGGGGGGGGGCTGAAGCCCCTCAATCCCCCCCCCCCCCCCCGGCTACATGCCTGACAGCAACCATCACTCTATGTGGCTTGGGAGCACCATCACTTCATGAATTTTCTACAGAACTCTCACCCTCTGGAACGATTGAATCTGTAGCCAACTAAGCTCCCTAGAATCACAACCTCACTGTTCTCTATTAAGTCTGGGAAGGGCCAGGAGGGAGGACGGAGTCTCTGTTATGACATCTGACTTCTCATCAAATGAGGACTCCACAAACAGGAGCATGACAACAATGTTGGTACAAAGGTTCTCTGTGTGTATGAATTCCATAGGGTTTGCTAAGGCATGGAATACTCAGAGATTCCTCTGCAACATAGTCTACAGCACCTCATATTTGTTGGCAGTCTCCCATCCAAGTACTAATTGGATCTGACATATAATCTGGTGCCTTTAGGGCAGGCATGGGCAAACTTGGGCCCTCCAGGTATTTTTGGACTTCAACTCTCATAATTCCTAACAGCCTACTGGCAGAGGGCCCAAGTTTGCCCATGCCTGCTTTAGGATACTTAAGCCTCTAAGACAGTATGAACGTATTTTTAAATAATCTTCAACATTCCTAATCTGATTTAGCACAATATTAGCTAGTGTAATGTTAGTTCAGCTGGTCCTTGACACTTTGAGCTCTAAATCAATCTGTAATCCCTCATTATCTCCTTCCATTGTTTTATATCTTCTGTATCAACAAGCTTTCATTTGCCTGTGTTCTTTATTTCGCTATTCTGACATGAATTAGTTTCTTTCACTAAAGTGGGGGGAAACATTCTGTAAACAGAGATACAGATTAATGTGAATAACACCTATTTGTTTGTTTTTTTAGAAAACTTGGTTGTGTATGTGTGCTTAAGTCCATTGGTCAATTATTTTTCAAGAATGCCAACTGCTCAGTTTAGCTTAAGCAAACTAAAACCCCTATCGCAAATACTTTTACTCATACCAATGGCTCAGCTCAAATTAATTCTATTGAACTATTCACAGCAAGTTGTTGGACTTCTCCTTTCCTCCCTGTTACTTCACCCATGCATCCTAACACTACGTCTGTCATGGATTCATCTGATGTTTCTAAGCCCCTTCCACACAGTTGTATAAAATCCATATTGAACTGGATTATATGGCAGTGTGGACTTAAATAACCCAATTCAAAGCTGATATTGTGGATTATCTGCCTTGATATTCTGGGTTATATGGCT